AGTGTTGAGTATTTCAATCTTTCATTTTTCATTATTTTTGATTTTCTATACCCACAAAATATTGCTCCATCTTGCATTTTAGTTAATTGTAGAAATACATTCTTTTTTATATTGATGGACTTCTATGCTTTCACTGTAGTAGTTTTATCTACTCATTTTGACTCAAACCATCTTCTAAAATATCCATTTGTTTGATGACACTTCCATTTTTTGATGTATTTGTCAATAATTTTTATTTCTACTACTACTTCTTTTTCTTTTTTCTTTTCAATATTTTCATTTATTATTTCTTCTATTTTTGTTTCATTTATTTTATGAATTGATGTTTTTTAATTCTATTCCATATTCCCTTCTTACTGTACCATCTATCTAATATGTTATTTCCTATTTCACTTTCTCTTGTACAGTAGTACATCACTGTTCTAACTAATTCAATAACATATTCGTCCATTATATTTATTAATCATTCACCCATTTCTTCTATAATGACATACAACCTATCTTTGGAGTTTCACCATTGTATTTTGCCTTTCTTAAATATTTTCTTATCTCCAAATCTATTTTGTCTAGGTCAGTGATTTTCCAATTTACAACTGATGCTGAATATCTGAAGATAGGGATTACTTCAGTGTTTATTCTAGTAATATATCTTCTATTACTACTTTCATCACTGTTTATTTCTTCCATCTTTTGATTCATTTTTTCTTTGATGGTTTTACAATTGAAGGTGTCTTCAATTTCATCGGACTGCCATATTCCTAAGTATTTATACAAGTCCTCACCTTCAACTACGGGGATGTTTTGCATTCCATCTGGTATTTTCTTAATGTTTTTTTAATACCATTCATGATTTTTTCTCATTCATTTCCATCCCTATTCCACTTATTATTTCTTTAATTTCATTGTGGATTATTCCCATTTCTTCATTACTTTCCGTCATTATTCTCAAATCATCCATATATAATGTGTGATTTGTTTTTGGGAATTTCTCTTCGATGATTTGAGAAATTACATTCATCTGTATGATGAAGAGTAGATTTGATAAGGAATCACCTTGTAAAATTCCTCTATTTAATTTAATACATCATGGATATTCATTAAATTTATAACCGATGAATATCTTCCATCTAGTCATCATACTTTCAATAATGTCAATGATGACACCCTCTACATTAAAATATTTTAATGATTCAATAACCCATTCGTGGTTGACTGTGTCATATGCTTTCTTAATGTCATAATATGACTCATCATATTTTGGGTATTTCTCTTCTTTTTGCTGCTTCATCATATAACTATTAATTATTCCTTCTTTAGCAGCTAAAGATTGCAACTTACATCCCAGTTGTTTATTACTAATTTTCAATGATTCACAATTCATGTTAAGTCTTCTGTGAATCTTTTCTTTTAATATGGAGGTAAATACTTTCATAATTACGTTTGTACAACTGATATGACGATAATTAGTAACATCATTCCTATCACTTTGTGGATTAATAAAGTTCTTCCACTTACCATGTCTAATTTGATGTTTTGATTGAAGTTCAACCATTCATTAAAGATATTGAGAATGATTTCTCTTGATGATGACATCATTTTCCAATAATACCCATATATAGTGTCTATTCCTGGTGCTTTCCAGTTATTTATTTTCATTATACTTAAATTTAATTCATTTAATGTTATAATGACACTATCATAATTTCTATATCTTTCATTCCACAAGGTGATTTGTTTTATTTTCCAATTCTCTTTATTTAATATCACCTGTGTTTCATATAATATTTCATTTATTCTAAAGTAATATCGTTATTTTGGTATATTTCATTTTTTGGGTCTTTCTTCCTTATTCTAATTTTCTTGTTAGAATCAAACATGATTTTATTTGTATTGATTCTGACCCTTTCTTCCTTATTAAATTTAATTCTTTCTTTGATCATTGTCATCATATATTTTAGGTATTTTATTCTTTCTAGTGCTTTAACTTTTATTCCTTCTTCATCATTTTCTTTTAATTTCATGATGCACTTTATTCTGTACCATTTCCTTCCCTTGACCAAATCTTCTAGTCTATTTATTTTCTTTAGGATTTCTTTTATTTCATCAAATTTATCTCCTATTATTTTATTTTGGAGATAGAGGTGCATAATCATTGAAATATCCATATCATCTTGCAGATAATCAATTCTGCTTCCTGACCATACCCATCTATTATTAATTTCCATTATTAATTTGTCAGTTTCTTTTCTTTGAAAGTAGTAATTAATGTTTGAACATTTTTCTACTTTCATTTCTTTTATTTTATTGATGAGAGTGTTAAGGTATTCTTCATTAATTTCTGTAGAGTTATTCTTTAATATGATGTTTTTTATTATTGAATTACACTCTACTCTTCCTTCTATTATATCATTTATTTTCACTTTAATGTATTGTTTAGTATTTTCTTTTATTTTATGTGATATTTTAATATATTTAATATATTCTTTTTCATTATTGACATTGATATTTGTTGCTTTTATTATATTTTCTATTTGTTCATTTTTTATTTTCTTATATAATTTCTTATTCAACCAATTAATTGCAAAACAATACAACACTTCAATTAAATGTCTATTTCTTTGTTTTGTTGTATTTCTTGTCTGATTATCATCTCTTGTTTTTTGACAATCAGTGCTTTTCTCTTCGATTTCCACTACTGTCTTTTTCATAGGAGTAGTTTCGTTCATCTCCATCGTTCCTGATGATACTTTCCTCATTACTGGTTGTGTATTTATCACAAGTGTCATCGTTTTCTTCTTCTCTAGTTCCTTCTGTGAAACAAAATTTTCAATATCATCTTGTTGTTTTGATATTATTTGTTTTTGTGCTTCATTTTCTTTTTGTGTGTTGTCTAATTCTTCTCTTGTTATTTCTGCAATTTCTTGGTTTTTAATTGCAATTTCTTGATATTCAGAGATTTGTTTTTCTTTATCTCTTATTTCTTTCTTTAATTCTTTAGTGTTTTTCTCTATCATTTCAATTTTCTTCTCTAGTGTGTTTGCATTTTGTTCTAGCGTTTTGTTTCTCTTTTTTAACTTTTCAATTTCTTCTTTCATTTCTTCATTTTCTTTTTCCATCTTCTTTTTATTAGCTTGGATGCTTCGGATTTTTTCTTCTTTATTATTTACTTCTGTGATTTTCTTTCCTTCTATCTCATTTATTTTTCCTTGAATTTTAAGTTTTTTTCTTCTAATCTTTCATTTTCTTTCTTCATTTCTTCATAATTCGTTTGAATCTTTTTAATTTGTGTTTTCATTTCTGTAATCTCTTCTTCAAATTCTTTCCTAACTATTTCTTTTGCTTTTCTCATCATTTCTTCTGAGATGGCTTGTTCTTCTTCCATTTTTTTCATACTGTATTCTTTAAGTTTTTCTTTTAATTCAGTAATTTGATTTTTCAGAGCAATTATTTCTTCTTTTTCTTTTTCTTCTTCTATCTTTTCTTCTTTATTTTTTGTTTCTTCTTGTACTTTCTTTATACTTTCTGTTTCATTTATTATTCTTGCAATTTTACATCTATCATTCATTTCTTTGATTGGGTTTTTGTTTTTAATTTCTGCTTCTATAGCCTTAATGTCTTTTTCCTCCCAATCTTTTGTTTTTTCTTTAAACTCTTCTTTCGTCTTTTCAATTATCTTTTTCTTTTTAATTGAATATACTTCTTGAAGAATATTATACCATTTTTTCTTCTTACCTTCATATTTTTAAGTATTTCTTCATATTCTCCTTCTTTCCATTCCATTGTTATTTTTTTATTCTTTCTTGTATACCATTTATTGTTAGCCATTTGTATTTGTTATTTGTATAATCTTTATTATTATTGTATTTACCTTGTTTTTTTATTTGTATTTCTTTGTGTCTTTCGTCTTCTAATCAAATTTCCTTGATATATCGTTTACCTTTATTATAATTGTTATGCCATTTATTGCTATTGACATTTCTTTTTTTATTGTATGACTTTGGATTTCTATGTCTTGTTTGCTTTTCTTTACAACACTCTAAGGTTTTACACAATAGCCATGGCATTAAAATTTGTTGTATTTCCTGTATTGGAAAAGGATCTTTCCCAAATGAAATTAAAATAAAATAGAAAAATAACATTATAATGATATATTTCATGTAATATCGTTATTATTTTAATACACAATGAATTAATATGAATATTATATGTAGTAAATTTACAATTAAAGTCAAATATGATATTACATTCATTTATATTAATAAATTTCAATTATATAATGTTTTATATAACAAATAATAAAAATAAATTAAAAAAATGAAATTTCTAAAATTGAAGTGATTGAAATAAAGAAAGATAGAAATAAATACATTACATTCATTGATTTATTCATTTCTTTATTGTTCATATTATCAAATTTTTGATATATTTATTAATTGAATATTTATCATTTGTATGAATACATTTCTATGATATTTTTTCATTTTCATATTCATCAAATAAATAATAAATGATAATTTATTGAGGTATAAATTATTTGTTATTAATAATTTATATTAAAAAAATAAAAAGAAGAAAAAAATGAATGACGATTATCTTAAAAATAAATTAAGTTCAAACTAAAAATAAAAGAAGAACTAATAAATAATCAAAAATAATAAAGAAAGAA